GCATTCTTCATCTTTGATAAAGTCAAAATCTATTGTCATATGGGCTGTAGCACCTCTGTCTTCAAGCGTGATTGGGAAGGATTGAGTCTGATCCTTTGCTACTGGAGCCCAGACTTATACTTTGTGCTACATCTGGCAGCAGTGAAGGCTGTTACTCCCCCAAAAGGGCAGAAGGATGGCTGCTGCTGTTCCTGAAGCCTGTTGTAGCAATACAGCATATCCCAGCTAAACCTGTTCTCTTTCTCTACTCTCAGCACCCCTAACAAATTCAGCCACTTGAAGACAAATGACTACGTGGGGGGTTTAGGTGGCTGACTCTGGGTGCTTTATTCAAAAGTGCAGATCTCCATCAAAAACTCAGCTGTGTTGCTCCAGATCTATTCAGTCAAATGTTGGCCCATTGACATTATGGTAAGAAGGACACACACACAGCCCAGCAGGTTTCACAGCATCCCCGTGGGTAGGATTGAAGGCTATTCTACATCTACATGTATTCGTAGAGATAATTCATACAAATACACGTGCTTATGCTTTCCCACGCATATACATAAGAGTCATTGGCCAATGCTGGATTTATCTTCACCAAGTACTCAGGTTTATGTGATCACAACACTCATTTTGAATATGGAAGAACATAAATGGAAATTAATGCAATAATATTTCACCACTAAATAACACTTTTCCCAGGGAACCACAGAGCAAGTTCTAGCTTAGCCGTGTGCTTCCAAGGGAAAAATAACCTGTTCCTTACAATAGAAGTTTCTCTTTCTCCCATTGCACAGAGGAAATAGGGAATGTTAGTGAAGGATAGAACGTCCTGCTAATACTTTAATGCTGAGGAGAGAGATCAGGACATCTGACATCCTGAGCTCTCTGCAACACATTTTCCATGGTGGTACAGCCCTTGAAAAACTTCAGCACACCAGGGAGCAAAGATGGGGCTGCAGCAGGGACGTGCAGAGACCTGTGCTGCTTTCCTTGCCACTTCTTCTTGTGGCTTACCCTTAACTCAAGAAATGTTTTTCAAGATTGATATGTGCCTGTATGACAGGAGGCGAAAATAGTTCCATAACAAGCATTATTAATTCCCTTGTGACAAAAATAATCCTACAAATTTTTTTTTGGCATTAATGTAGATTTCGTACATACTAAAAAAATTACTTTAGAGTTAACAACAGTCAGTACTAACCAAGCCACTATTATAGAGTTATTTTCATATATTTTAACAGATGACAAGATCTCAACCACTTTCCACTAAGTACATGAAGCAAAATCTCAGGTCAGTCCAATACTAGGATGATTAGCTGAACATTTCTAAATCAATCAACCATAATAAATCCTGAGTATTCTGCCTGACATTGAACTCAAACACATTTCATTCCCACTACTTGGTCCTTGCATCTTTTCAGAGCACTCAGCTGCACTGTACTCAGCTGCTTCAAGGCAAAAGTCACCATTAAGACATGTAATGGGTTATGGTAAGATCGTCAGCACAACTTTAAAATCAACCCATTTGATTTAGGTGAAATCCAACAAGAAATAAAAACAGTGTTCAAGGTCACACTGAATAAGCTTACAAACGGTGGGGAGGCTTTGCATTGTTTTATAAAACAGAATTGCAACTTCTCTCTATGACATGTCTCCTGAAACTAAACACAGCTTGAAATATCAATTCACAGTATGTTTTTGAACTGTTTCCCCAGGGCTGTCTGCTTTCTACACAGAGGCAGGGATTCACTCAAGCTGTGGGAGGTGCAATATCAGACAAGAAAAAGCTGAGACATACTTATTACACCGCGTTAGGATCAAACTATAATTTTGTAATTATTGTGTGAATTGTAATCGCAAGCAAGCTATTTACTGTCATCGCTTCGATTTGGCACAAAAAACACAACATGCACAAATCTGCTGTTGCCTCCTGTACTGACTTCGCGATTCCTATCTTAAAGAAAAGGCTTACAAGTCAAAAGGAATATCTGCACTGGCAGCAGCAGAACACAATTCGAGTGTTTGGGAAAATCATCTCGAGAGCAGGACCACCCGCTCATGTTTGCAGACTTTACTGCAGTGAAAGGACATGGAGGTGACTCCAATTTAGGAGCCTTCATGGTCATGCTGTCTGGCTGTGTATCTTTTTAGTGTAACATATTTTTCTAATTTGCTCTGTGGGGATTAAAATACCTCCTGAAAAGCAATTAAACTGCTGAATGTTTACTGAAGCTATGCTAGTAGATGGAACAAAAGGCTTATTCAGCCAGAATAAGATACTGGACAACAATAAGAGGGGAGTTCAAAGATAAAATGAAATAAAAGACAATATTTCTGATCAAGATTTTAAAATAAGACCAAGCCTTGGAATATTACAAGTCCCACATTTGCATAGTGAAATCATGTTTACTTTCATAAATTGTGTCTATGCAATGCAGACTTGAGTATAAATTCTCCTGGTTCATATCTTTTATACCTACTGGTGTGTGCAAATATGTAGATCTGAACATTTTAAATGGAAGCCAGAATGGGGAGAAAGCATGGTTTAATGCTTTCAGAATGCAAATTCAGGTGTTTTTATTCATAGACTGGGCAGGGACTTTGTACATGGCCTTGGACTAATTGTACTTTTCTTCTCAATTTAAAAATGAAAAATCATCCCTTTTTAAAAATGAAAAGTTCTGGGAATGACATGAATATAAATCACAAGCAGGACTAAGAAGGGCTTAGCAATAAGAGCTATTATCAAGAGATGGAGAGATGAGACCATTGGGAAAGTCAGCATACAAAGTTGGACAAAACAAGAGTGGTTTTCCCAAAGCTTGTCTCAAAGATCTGGAGATTTTGTTCTCTCCAATATATAATTAGAGCAGAGCATCTAGACCAAACAGAAAGTCAAGCTCAGCTTTGCCTTATGGCTGTGATGCACAATTATCACCTGTTAGGTAAGCATTCTTATCCACACTACATGGTGGATAAGAAGAGGTTGATAGAGTAAGGAGGGAAAACTGCCTCTCAGCATTAGGGAAGTCCCAAGAGAAACTGTATATGAGTAGCTGTGCATTTGATGGGGTCAGAAACAAAAAATACTGCCTGTGAGGACAGCAGAAATGTCTAATAGAAAATGGCAACCAAATGGCAGCCAAAGCTCCTTTGATACAAGTGGATAAAACTCTTCATGTAATAAGAGCTCCTACCTTCTCCAAGCTTTCGCTCTTTTTTCATAGCAAATTCAATCTGAAGGGTTTTCCTGTGACTCATCTGTATCTAGAGACAAGTGTTTAAATTCCAGCATCTAGAACCACCTCAAAAGCGTCAAACCACCACAAGGAAGGCAGTTCTCCCAGTAATTCAGACAGTTAATCACGTAGCATGGCCTTACAAGATTCCCAATATGAGCATGTCAAAAAGCTTAACGGACTGACTTATCAGAGCTTCCAAGTAAAACTGTGGGAGAGTATAATCTGAAATGAAACATCATTGCATTGCAAATGATCTCATACTTCTGACAGCTCCAAAGTCAGATTCAAGCTCTGCAACCTTTGCTTTTGTATTTCCTAGTAGAGCATTCTCATTTATTATCCACCTGACGGCAGCAGCTAATAACAGAACAGGTCAAACCTCACTGACTTTCATCTGAAAAACATCACACTGATTTTAAGGGTCTTTGGACCAGATCCGATGTGCAACTCAGATGTTTGCATAACTACAGACTTTTCCTCCAGAATAATTCCATGATGGATTTTTATGATACATCAAGAGAGATGGAGAGATCAGACCATTGGACAAGTCAGCATACTTGCAGCAAATGCAATATCAAAGCAGTAGCTTTCTTTTTTTCTTTGCCACTTCTTTTATCTGGGTTTTCTTTTGTACAGCAAGTTTCTGAAAAAACAAATGCTGAGTCAATACTTCTGAGATGAGATTAATATGTAACACAGCTAATGAAATTTCTAGTTAAACTGAAGTTTTGTTTTGCTGGATTTTGTTTTTTGGCAGCTTGAACTGCCTAAAATCCTAATTCAATTGCAATCTACTCACAGAGCACAGCTGTTTTGCTTGGCTAAACTTTTCTCACTGCTTAATAAGATACTTTTTTATTTAACTTTCAGTTCTGCCTAGGAGCCCCAGTGGGTCTTTGAAAACAGAAGATTATTATTAGAAATTAATTAAGTATTCTTTTCAATTCTGTCTCCTGAGAGTAACTAGGCATTGCTGCTGATCTCCTCTGCATTAAGACATTACTCATTGTCATTCATAGGATGACAGTGCGGATGTCTCATCTGGAAGATACACAACTCCATAAATATGAAAGATTTGAAAGGCGTTTAATACAAAATATAATAAATCGGTATAAATATTAAACATATAATTGCAATGTCAAACATAGCACAGGCATATGAAGACCCTAACACTAGAATAAAAATAAACACACATTCCAAAAACAAACAAAAAACCTTACTGCAGTTATAGGATCCCAATAGCTTACAGTTAGTCCATGTTTCAGTACATTGTAAACCCCGACTAGACAATTCTAAGAACATCAAATGCAATTAAATAAAAGGCAGTTGATTTGATAGAGGGTGTGGGTGTGTTAAATGACCAGTGCCTACTAAGCGTTTGTTGTCACTGCCCTGCCCTCCATTGCATGTGACTACAAAAAGCACAGACCAAGGCTCCCACCTCTGACAGTGGGCTCAGCTGGCACTATCTGGCCTTTTCTAAGTGAACCAAACCCAATAAGCACCAATATCCTGATGTAATTTTTGATCTGAGGCCTTGAATGTGCATATTAATGCGTTACTCACGGAATTAGCAATGCATTTAACATGGCACTTCATGCTTGACATGGCGGTTGGTCTTTTTAATTTTCACTAAACTCAGGGGTATACGTGTAACTAACTGCTGTCATACTCTAACCAGGAAGGGATGTGGAGAGAATAATGCCACCATGGGTCAGCAGAACAACAATCAATCACTTACTCTTAATAATAATGTGGAATTCAACTTACTTTTTTGGTCTGTAGTCAGGGATGGACCTGTCCAGTGATATCCTGTCACTGAGCTGGGCATTGTAACCATATTCTTCATACTTAGTCTCTGATTCATGGCTATCGTCTCTCAGGGTAGCAGCCATTCCCCCCTGGCCCAAGCCTCCTGGACCTTCAACTAATCCCATGGGCTTTGCCAGACCTAATAAAACAACAACAACAAAAAATAAATTATTAATATAAAGGAAATTGATTTAAGCTTTTCTGTGACCACAGAACATTTTTAGATAAACAAGATCTGAACTCCCATGAAACTCAGCTCTGAAACCCTCATGGCTCTGTGGAAATTATCCTCAGCTTTTCAAACCAGATTCCATATCAACACATCTTGTACTATCAGTGCATAATTACTAATAAGCAAACTGTAAAGAATCAATTAGCAGCTTTCATGATTTCTCCTTTTTCCCGTACAAGTCCCTGGAAACAGGAATCTTGTTTCCAAATGTTCCAAAAGGCCTAATTATCCTTAAGAGATTTATTTTCATCTCACTATATATATAGTGGAAATGTACAAAATCAGAACACATTCCCATTAAGAGGTCTTAAGGAACTCATCCTAGCACTCACCACTTTCCGTAGCTGTCTGTTCTGTGGGTTAGGTGCCCTAACCTAGAAGCTGAAGTACTCAGGAGAGATGGGAAGGAGTACAGGAGGAAAAGGTATTTTTTTCTCGTAAGAACTGGAGGCCAGGCCCTTTCCTGCTATAACCCATCATAGCTCCATTCATTTTAAGGGAGATAACGTTGCATTTCTACCACATGTAAATCTACCAGTTTAACTCCATAATAATGTTGGTTCTGCAATAAGTGTTGGAGCTGAGGCATCTGTTCTGTGGTTCTAAGACCACCTGCAGCTCTTGAATGGTTCAGGTTTGGTTGCCACACTGTGAATACAGCTACGCAACTGGTCACCAGCTGCTGCTGGGTGGGAAATAACTGAGTAAATCTAACTTCACTGTGTGAGTCAACTGGACTCAGCTGCACACTTTGCCCAGCCTGTTCCCACAAAGATGTGCCTAAACTACTAGGGACCTGACACCATCTCTCACCTGGGAATTACTCCAGATTTCCTCTGTCCTTCAGATCTTTGATGAATGAAATCTATATATTATGTAAGGTACTCAGCTGTGTGAAGCTTGTAGTGTCAGGAAGTTTGGACACACTTCAGCTAAAATAATTAATCCCACTTGGTTCATGCTGAGATATCAGCTAGTCAACAATGTGTTTATAGGTTTCATTCACTGGTATATTATTGCTCAACTCAAAAAATACATGTAAAACAGAATTAAGCTGACATAAAAAGTGCCCATATGATCACCATCACCAAGAACCTCTTCCATGGCAACAGGCATTTAACTTGGTGCTGAATTATCATAAATAAGCTCCCCAAATACCCTGTGTTTAATGTCAAAGCTTTCCTTTCCAAAAGGCTCACTATCAACAAGCCATTATAAGCTAAAAATTTATTTAGAATAGTCTTGGGGATACCACACAGAAATGTGCAAATATCCTCCAAATAATTTACAATGCAGAGCACAACAATTAGAGTTTGACCTACCCAACATTTTTCAAATTAAGAGTTTTTCAAGAGGAAAATGTCATGATTTCAACTAAACAATTAAGAGAAAGACAGAAAGAAACTATCAACATTTACTATAAGACACGCAAGGCAGTACAAAGCTGGGGCTGGCTTCTCCAAGTCACAAGAAGGTCTGGGACAGCTTAGTCCCTCATGAAGGAATTTCTCTTGCACCTCATCACTAACACTGTCCTCACTTGTTGTAACTCCATCATTGTCTCTGCTTAATTATAGAAGAACACAGAGACAGTGGTTCATTAGTGGTTCAAAAGAGTAAAATTAGCATTTTCTACTGTAGGTGCTTATGAGAAAATCCTGCACTAAGCTTAAGTGCAACACTGCTAATAGTCTGCCTGAACATAAAAGGACTGAGTACCCACAGTACTCGGGAATTTTGCTACTGAATTTCAGACATTGCCTACAAAAATACACACCTCATAGTGCAATCAGTGATCCCAAGTCAGGGCAGACCCTGCTTGTGTTTGTGTCTTTGATGCCTTCTTCATGTTCCTCATCATCATGCATTGAAATACTCAACTGTCTCGGAGAGAATCATGAGTCTTAGCAGGAGGAGGGAGGGCAGACTGAGAAAAAAAGGACGCCCTACAGAAAAATATTCTTGGCATGGCCAAGCTTTTGAAAAATTCAGACAGCTGCAAGCATTCAAGTCGAGTGAGTTGTTGAAAAGAAGGGAAAACAGGAGGCTCACGCAGCCATGGTCTCGTTATAGGTGTGTGTGGGAGGTGAGCTTCAGGGCTCACTAGCAAAGGAGATCGAACAGAGGCACAAGCAGAAACCCCGCATCCGTGAAGGGAAAGTAGAAAGATGAAACTTCAAAACAGCATATTTTTCTAAGGTATTGTATTACTGGGACACAGAGAGAATACACCAAAGCACCAAGCTACGGGGATTGATACTGATGCTTAATCAATAATGAACTTCTTCAAAGCTGTAAGTGAAGCAAAATGCCAGGAAAAATGCAAGGTATGCTCAAGGCAAGGGAACGTGCTATCAGAAGACAGCTCTCTTCTGCAGTCAGTCACACTGACAAGCTAGGATCTTGGACAGCCTTTGATAACTTATTCCCCAACATTGGTAACGTGAAACAGAGCCCTCCTGCTGTTTAATGACTGCTCTTCCTCCCAGGCCAGCCAAGCTGTCTTCCTCTCCCAAACAGCTTTTGCTCTAGTGAGGTATGGAACTAACCCAGGAGACAAATAGGAAAGTGCTCGTTCTGTCTCAAAATGTACAAGGATAAGTAAAGAAACCAGTTGAGATGGACTGACTCAAGCCCCAGTAGGATGGCAGAGCACCTATTCCTGCTCATCACCTTCCTGCTAAAAACCAAAAACCACAATAACAAGGAGCTACCAGCACAAGTCATTAAATCCTAGAGAACTTGGGCCTAATGCAACAACTGCAAAGTAATAAGTAAGCTAGAGGTTTCCAAAGATTACTATAATTATTTCAAATATCTATATAGTTTTCATTCATGTCTCATATTATTCTTGAATTCATTAAACTGTCTTCAGGTATGCACAGAAGCATTCAGAAAATTTTTGCATGCTTGTCTCAGCCACGCTCCTCCTCTGTGCAGAAGTAGGTGAGAGTCTTTCTTGGGATACTAGGCTGGCCGCATGAATCTTTGCCCAGCTGCATTTTCAGGCAAATGGAAGAACGGAGTTGTGTCTCTGCTGTCCAAACTTCTGGCCGATAGAAGCTAGTTCATCAGTCAAAATCTCCTGCTGACTTATACTGGTAGCAATTCACTCAGAGACAAATCCAAATCATAGCACCGGGTTGAATTGCTGCTTACTAAGAGACAGAATGGACTGTGCTGAGTCTGGATAGGACTTACAACACTGGTTGCCATTCTCCAGTGCAGTCCTGACTGGTTCTGCATTAATTATTACAAATATTATGATGCCTACAGTTTGCTATTAATGTACAAGCACACCAAGAATTCCTACTTTGAATGACTAACATTAGCTTGATGTGATCTCTTGGAAAACAATATTTTTGCCCCTAAAAACTGATTTACGTCATACACCACAAACCACTCTTTTTTGCTCACTTTTCTTCATTGAAATGTACCTTATGAATCTTTTTTTCCACTAAAACTGGTTCAAAAATGTTTGAGTACCTTCCATTCTTGCTTGTAGCAATCATCACGAAGCAACTGGGTTAGCATCAAGCGATCAGCCTGCAGCTGGTATTATACTTCTGCATTCTGCAGGGACAGGGAGAAACTAGCACAAAGGAGGCTCACAATTAGGAATTGATAATACTCATGTCTCCAACTGGGTCATGCAAAGAAGGAATTTGTAAGTAGAAAATATGATATTGTGATATTTTGGGGTATTTAAGAAGGATTATTTGGATTTTCTAATGAAACAATTTTCTGCAGGAAAAGTAGAGAATAAGACAGTCAGTTTCTGCTGAAACATGACTAATACTCTTCAAGAGCTGTGTTGAAGTTAGTGTTTTCAAACAATCGAAATTCTTTTACCATACTAAGTTAAACACTTCAATACACATTAAATAGTTGTGAAAATATTACAGGAAGCTTCATTTGAAGGCAATTGTAACATTTGTCCCTTTTGTTCCAATTTAGGATAAGAGGCTATTTGGCACTTTGACTGGCTTTAGTATTTAATATTATTTCCTTTCGAAAAATTAGAACAGAAGGGCATAATGTTGCCAGCCCTGGCCTGACAACTAGTCCTTGCTCAAATAATTACAGAAATTACATGTCTGAGACTCTAAATCTCTCCCCATCCAAAAGGAAAAACACAGCAGCCTAATCTTCCTGCATGATACAGTCTAGACACTAATAGCAAGCAGTGATGCTGTGTGCCTGTGCTTTACTTGGCCAATATACGGCATCTTAAAGGAGGGCTCAGTTTCAGAGAAAAATCAGCAGTTCCCTCAAAAAAAAAGAAAAAAAAAAAAAAAAAAGAAAAAACCAAACCAAAAACCCACAAGCAGGCCTCATTAAAAGGGAGTCAAATTAGGCACTTTAGAAGTTAAAGAATCCTGAAAATTAGACATTTCATAAAGCCTATATCCCTGAAAGACTGCGATGTGGAAATTCACTTGCTGATCATTTGGAATCAGCTGGGTTCTGATGTTACATCAAAGCAAATTGAAGACGACTTCATTAAAGTTAACTGACCTGCTTTGATGAAAGGGTCTCCAAGCTGTGCTGTGCTCATTTGACTTTAAGCAACAATTTAATTCCAGTAGTTGAAAACTTTATTCTTTATGCTATATGGTCTTGCAGTTTACAGAACAAAACAATTGCATCTTTATAACACAAGTAACAGAGGAATGAAACTTTCAACCCCCAGGAAGCATCAAGCACTTTGCTATTTTTCTTATGAGACAATTAGATAGCCTTCCAAACCATGCATAATGACAATTATTTTATATATCTTTTTCCTAAATCTGATATTCTAGCTCTTCATGCTGATAATCTGATCTTGTTCTAGGAAAAAGTCATCGTATGTCTGACTTACTCTCAGAATATATTACTGGGAGGTTTTTTTCCCCATTCATTACCCG